CACAACCCCCCAGTGCCCCAAGCAGCAGCTCCCTCCTGCCTGCTCTATCAGACTCTCAATGCAGCACCTGCATGATTTGCAGAGTAATAAATTAGTTGGGTTCTTTCATCTATAAGCATGAAACAACTTTGCTTCTACACTGTGAAACACCTGACACATCCCAATTAATCTCTTGATTCTTTAACAGGAGCATCTCTTCTCTGCTGCTCCTGTCAGAAACACTGCCTGGGAAGCAGCAAGAATGGATGTTCAGCTATTCAAAGCATCAGTCCCAAGATGCCCAACTCCTTCCTGAAGGAAAAGGGCCAACCCTGGGAACAGATGGGGAGGTGAAAGATGTTTGTTCTAATACACAGCAATGCAGGGTGGCAGAGGATCTCTGGGAAGGACCAGAGGGGGAAACAAGCACAGATGAAGCTGAAACCTGAAACGTGGCTCTGAGCACCTGCTCACCTGCATCTTCATTCAGCCAAGCCAAGTGCACTCCCCTAACTGCTCGAGTCATCTTTCACCCTGTTGTAACCCAGAGGCTGAATCAGGGTAGGAAGAAGCAAAACTTTCAGGGTATTTCCCAAGCAGAGGAAGAAGGCAGGCAGAGGTTGGGGGAGGGAGCAGGGGAAAAGGGCTGAGGCCCTTCAGGACATAAACCTGATGCAAAAATGAGCTGCTTCCCTTACAGAAGAGTCACCAGCTCATCAATAAGTTTATAATTTGGGTGATGGGGAGAGAAAAGCATAAACAAAGCTAAGCAAACACAACACTGGAAGAGAGTGGGTGCAGGAATTTCACTTCTCAATTCTCAAATCCAATGTTTTTGCAGCAATTTCATTTGAAATACGTTGAGAACACTAAAGAACTCCTACCTTGGCATAAAAGATCTCTCATCAGTGTTAGCAGCCTTACTGAAGGTTCCTCCAAGCTCCCCACAAGGGACTGAAAAAAAGAACAACCAAAAGAATGAATCATTTTTCAAAGGACAATGTTTGTAAGCACCTCTGAAGTGCTTAAGTCAAACCACCATGTTCCCATGGACTTTTCCTCCCTAATACACTCTACGGAAGACCTCACTCAGGAAAGACAAACTGAGGTCAAACTAACCCTGTCTGAGGTCATATCAAGTCTGCAATGCATTTTAGGAGATGAGATCAGTACAGAAAGTCCTACAGAAACACAGGAGAAACATGTTTACAGCAGCCCAACAACCTGAGTGATGTTAAACAGGAGAAACCATCACTTATCAGCTCCCAGTCAGCACAGCCGTGGTAAAACCCAGTGCAAGACCTACAAAGGAGAATTATTTTGTGGATTCCTCAGGTTTCTTGGCTGTGAGAAGCACACAAAGCTGTGTGTTGTGCTCCTGCAGCCAGGGAGCCGCACACACACCGGTGCCAGGCGCGGAATCGTCGCGCGCAGGAAGGAGCAGCATCAGGCACTGATGCTATCAGGGTCCCTCTGGAACAAACCGGAATCCTGTCCTGGATCCATCCAGCCCTGCTGTGCCCCAGCCCCTGCTTCCTGCTCTGGCCACCTGGAGCAGCAGGATGGAGGGGACAGACTGTCCCTCCAGCCCTGCCAGGGCAGCACAGGTGTCACACATGTCACACAAGAGCTTCTGTAAGTTGAGAAAAAAGCAGAGGGCAGAGCACAGAGCTGCATCCAGACAGGGGATGCAGCATCTCAACAGGCTTTAAGCTGACAGAAGACAGGGTTAGATGGGATACTGGGAAGAAATCCTTCCCTGTGAGGTGCTGAGACACTGGCACAGGTTGCCCAGAGCAGCTGTGGTTGCTCCATCCCTGGGAGTGTACCAGGCCAGGTTGGATGGGGCTTGGAGCAATCTGAGCTGGTGAAAAGTGTCCCTGCCCACAGCAAGGGGTGGAAGAAGATGAGCTTTAAGGTCCATTCAACCCAAACCAGCTGTGATTCTGTGACAGACCTGGAGAGCAGGACAATCCCAGCAGCACCATCCCCTGCCCCAGTAACCCACTGGCTCCTTGTCCCAGTGTTTTAGAAGACTCCAACACTCGTAGTGTCCCAATCCTTTGTTCAGTAACACTGAGCTGCAGCAGCAGTGACACTTCAAACAGAAATCACAGCACAGGCTACACCCTGCTGCTAGGACAGGCAAAGGGTCCTCTGATGTCTTTTATAGGTTCAGCACTTTATCCTTTCTTCTCAATGGATAAAAGAAACAATTGTTCTCCTAGGATCACAGGAAGTTTAAATGAAAACCTAGGAAGCTGTTTCTTTCAAAATATTCCTTTTTAGCAGCTCTGCATCCAACACTTCAGAGCCACCTTGGAGCCAGAGAAACCACAACTGTTTAGAAACAGATAATGAAGTTGTCATAATCCTTGACAGATATTTTCCAAATAAAATGGGAAGTGAATCTACAGCGAAGCAGAGTTCATAGGGGCAGCTCTTGCTGCAGGCATTTGTTTGGATCCCATTCATACACACCTGAAAATAGGGATTTCTCCTACGGAGACAGGCTGGGAGAGCTGGGGATCACCTTAGAGTCTCTTCTAGGACCTGAAGGGGCTCCAAGAGAGGTGGAGAAGGATTTGGACAAGGAGTGACAAGGGGGAATGGCTTTAAGCTGATGGAGGGCAGGTTTAGATTGGATATTGGGAAGAAATTCTTCCCTGTGAGGGTGATGAGACACTGGCACAGGTTGCCCAGAGAAGCTGTGGCTGCTCCATCCCTGGGAATGTTCCAGGCCAAGTTGGATGGAGTTTGGAGCGACCTGGGCTAGTGGAAAGTGTCCCTGCCCATAGCAGAGGGTGGTACAAGATGAGCTTTAAGGTCCTTCCAACCCAAACCAGTCTGGGATTCCCTGACTTTCAGTGAAAGCACTGCCAGTCCCAGCTGGGACTCAGGACTGGTGACACCTCAGCAGCAGTGACTGCACTTGCACTCAAAAAGCACAAAGCACAGGCTGAGCTCAGAAAAGGGTGAGAGAAAAGGAACAGAAAGAAATGAGGCACCTAAAGAGCACAAAGAACCCACAGCAGCAGTTCCTAGAAACAACATGAAACAGCCTCTCAGGGTTCAGCTTCCACAGCCACGTTCACTCTTAGCCTCATGCATACTTAGCTCTGCTTTTCCCCAGGAAGATGCACTGGGAAAGATAGGGAAAAATGTCCCTGGGATAGAGGAGAAAGGGGCAGGGAGCAAGGACCACTCATCTGGCTTTAAAGAAGAGAAAAGAGAGCAACTCCTTGCTTGCTCATCCCACACAGCTCCAATATGTTGGCAGAAACCAACATATTGAACACTTCCAAAGGGAAATGTGCCACCAGAGCTTTGCAGGTTTGGGAGAGAAGCACAGATGCCTGTGTGAGCAGCAGCACAGCTCAGGCTGGCTGTGCCACCCCTGTGGTCATGCCCTTCCCAATTCCCAGCTGAGGGGCAGATTCTTGCAGCCACATGTCCTGGATATTTTTATCCTGGCAGTCAAATACTGAATCGTGGCTACTATAAACAAACCTGTTTAATTCTGAACTTGTAAATGCTCTTCATGCCAGTTTTTTTTTTCTTTCAGTTACTATAAACTAGGCCACAAAAAGAGATGGATTTTCTTTTTTTAAAAGCACCAACTAAACATTGCTCAATCCTCTACCAAAATCCCTTCGTTACTCAGAGCTGTGTTGGCAAAACAACCCCAAATCCAGCACTTGGGCAAAGGGAAGATTTCCAGTGATCCAAATCACACTTCAATTGACAGATTTCCTCCAGAATGAAAGGAAAGCCAAACAGAGAGAATGATCCAGCAGTGAGGGCTGGAAACATGAGACCTGGGACTTTCCTCTTGGATGCCACTAGCACCACGTTGGTCCTGCCAGCAGCTCCAGCACTGCCCTACAACAGCTCCACTCACCACCTGTCCCTAATTTCTTCTCCACTGTGTTCCTAGATATTAAATGACTCAACGAAGTCGAAAGAACATTAAATACTTCCCTAATATTCATCAGAGCTGTCAACAATTATGCAATTGTTACACGGAGCGACCGAAACGTGGTGGGAAGAGGGATGGTGGAGCCCAAATGAAAGGGGGTTTGGCTGCAAGTGGCACAATTAATGGGCACACAACACTCCTAAAAAGCAGTGAGAGAAACACCACAGAGTGCCCTGTTAGCTAGCACAGAACTTAGTTAATTAACAAAACTCACTGCCATGGATTCACTTGTCAAGGCCCTTCCCCAAGGCAATCTCTCTGGTTTTAGGGGAGATGGAAAATTGCCTCCACCTTTCCTGAGGACACCAACATCAGAAAAATGAAAGGGAAGAGAGAAAAAAAAGACCCCAAAAAGATAAAAAGAGCAGACTAACCCAAAGCAAAACTTGAATGTGCCTGTAAAGATCATTTGACCAAGTTCTACCCACAGACTGCATTCATTTTATTACTCATTATCACTGCAGTATCTGCCACCAAATCTGTTTTATACACTGACATGACATGAGAGGAAACATTCTATACATTATGGCAGGAATCTCTGCCTCAATTTCACAATTTCAACAGGAAAATCCCTCTCATTTGCACTGACTGCTCTCAGCAGCCAATCAAATACCAATCAAGGTGTAATTAACTGTCCACAGGACTATGATGCAGGATGAGTCCCAATCCCAACATGGAGCATAACTGGTGCTGGGACATATGTCCTGCCCCTCTTAGAATCACAGAATCAACTGGTTGGAAAAGACCTTCAAGATCATCAAGTCCAACCCTACTGTGGTCACTAGACCATGGCACTAAGTGCCACATCCAGTCTCAGCTTGAAAACCTTCAGGGATGGTGAATCCACCACCTCCCTGGGCAGCACATTCCAATGCCATAAGTAAGTTCCAATTCCCTACAATAAGACTTGGGAATTGCATCAAATCCTGAACCACTAACTGTGCTAAAAAGCATTTTATTCAAGCAAATATAAACTGGATGGATCGTGATTAGTGAAAAGCGTAACATGCTTCAATATTGGAATATTTTAACCTTTCTAAAACACAACTTTCACCGATAATTCATACCCAAAAAGGTAGACACATTTGGTGGCTCCAAGTTGTGGACTCCCCATCCCCGGGAGTGTTCCAGGCCAGGTTGGACAGGGTTTGGAACAACTTGGGCTAGTGGAAGGTGTCCCTGCCCTGGGGTGAAACAAGATGAGCTTTAAGGTCCTTCCAACCCAAACCAATCTGAGTCTTTTATCCTATCATTTTAATAACATACCTTGCCCAAGTTCAGTACTTTAAGTCTAAATATATGTATTTTTGGTTTTGAAGTAACAACTAAAGCCAGAGAGACACAGCAAGAAGCACACAGAAGAAATGAAGCTGGTGACAAGCTAAACAAGCAAAGAGATATATGAGAATACAAGAGAACAATGAGACTGGTCAGAGGTATTACTGGAAGTGTTTAACCAGGTAAGGCGAGTGAATAGCCCTCAAATCTTGCATCCACTCCCCAAAACTCAAGCCCCAACCGTGTGCTCCTCTGGAGCACATCCAAATCTCCAGTTCCTGCATCATTCCGCACCTTCGGCGGCGTGTCGGGAACGTTCCTTGGGGCAGGGCCAAGGCCATAAAAGCCTGAGCGAAGAGTAAAGTCCTCTAGCAACACAGTCCTTCCGACTCCACTGTTGTGCTGAGCTGGAGCTTTGAGCAAATTAACTGCAGCCCACACAAACAAGGCAAGGAAACAAACTCCTTGGAAAACAGCAATAATTCTGTCATTGGAAACAGTCATTTTCTGCACAAACACCCTGAGATTGAGCCTCCTCAGCCCCTAATCTTTTCTGCAATCAGCTCCACGCTGAACCTGCAATTTTAAACAACATAATGTTCACTTCTATGGAAGTGGCTGCCTAATTATTCATTGGAAATTGCTCTGCTCTAGCAGCTCTCCAGGCAAGGAACAAGGGCTCTGGGGCAGCTAAAGC